TAAAATGGCCGGGAAGAATTGCAGAAAATATTTAATATAATTTGGGCTGTATTTACTTATAATGTATATTTCTAAGGTGATCGGTCCTTTATTTTTGTTGTCACATATTTATTGAGAAATTAAATATATTTTCATAATCATCAATCAATTTGACAGTATGAATTGTGCACATAACCTTTTGAGACTGACACGCGAGGACGATACTCGAAAATACGCCAGCTGTTCAGACTGCAGAAACGTGATTTGTTATTAGCTGCTTAGCAGGGTGAAACACCGGGTCGCGGGGTCCGCCAAATTTATTGTATGCTTCAATAATAGATCTTAAGGCTAGTACACGAAATATGCAGAAAAAAAGACAATAACTGGCATTCCTCTAAATAAGCTCACAGAGATGCATACAATGATATTACTAATTACACATAAATAGAGTGAAGGACAGACACTACATTTTTAATATACAGGGTGAAACAAGGAGACGCCAGGCTCTTTAAATCGACCGGAAAATTCGGTTTCTTAACCTATCGCGCTACGACTTTGTGCAGCGTTGCCCACAGATGGTGCTTTCTTTTTCTTTTTTTTTTGTAAAATTTGCAAAGAGCGAACTTACCTGAGGAAAAAGTAAAGAAAGAAAAAGGCTTAGCTCCTATGGAAACGCAGCGACGCCACCGGTCTTCAAAGAGCACGGCGCCGTTTCGCGCGGGACACAAGAGATGGCGCAACGAACGCAGCCAACGAACCAGCATACGGCGCCGAGAGCCAGCGTCTTTAGCAGACGATCTTTTCGACTCAAAAGCGGCTTGCGTTCCGCAGGCGGTGACAGTCGCAGAAACAAAAAAGACGCGGGGTAACAGCAAGGAACTGCAGTTCTTTGTCTGCAAAAGGGCCGGCTCTCGGCGTCGTCTGCTCGTTCGTTGGCGGCAGTTGGCGTCGCGACCGCTTGCGCCATCTCTTGTCTCCTATGCGAAACGGCGCCGTGCTCTTTGAAGACCGGTTGCGTCGCTGCGTTTCCATAGGAGCTAAGCCTTTTTCTTTCTTTACTTTTTCCTCAGGTAAATTCGATCTTTGCAAATTTTACAAAAAAAAATGCACAATCTGTGGGTAACGCTGCACAAAATCGTAGCGCGATACGTTAAGAAACCGAATTTTCCAGTCGATTAAAAGAGCCTGGCGTCTCCTTGTTTCACCCTGTATATATCACATTTGGACATCAGCTTGCACGAGCTCGACATTTGGCAAAATACTTTCTCGGGAGGCTAATATTATATTCGGTTTTACGTGCACTTGTTTTGGGCCCTCGCTTTACAACTCTGGGATTTATCAGCCACGAGCGCATTAACAATTTATTAGGCTGCAGCCAGACGGCTATGTATACACCTTTTTCCACGAGAACGTCGCGCTGCAGAACCCAAGGATCCTGGGTTCAATCCCCACCCCTGTCCGTTTTGATCTGAATGAGCTTCGTACCGGCGTGCGGTCGTGTATCACTACTGCGAGATGCGCGTTAAAGACACCAGGCTAGCGGTTGTACTGCATTGGCTAAATTGCTCATCTACAGATGGAAGACTCGTCGAACGTTGAGGCTGACCAAGTTCTAGGCTGTATAAACATACACACAACCCCCTTTTTTTTCACGGGGGCGCAGTCATTTTGAGTGTTGTCACTTCTAGTATGCGGCAAAACATCGCTTTGATATCTCTACGCCGCTGGAAGGTGTTTACAAAAAAAAATGCATGATTGTCACAGATTATTACTTTGACTCGCCTATATTTTCTCGCATATTCCAGGGTGAATTTCTTTTTCGTCCCGCATACCAGATACGGAACCCACACGATTGAGAACGATAGCAAACAGAAAACGTCTATAGTGCACATTTACGATTGAGACATACACTTCTCCTATAGTTGAGAACATCGCATTTCGCCAGAAAGCTGAATTGTAGAACGTGGTTTTCCCTTAACTTCATCGCACTATATGCTTGTGGTCATTGCGATTTGTTCTTGCTGAGAAACTCAAATCCGTTGGTCTAAAATGCCCACTACGAAAGGTTAGCGCTCAGTGCAAGTCGTGTATTCGAGCGTCACAAGCTAACCTTGCTTGGTGCAGCGTCCTGAGGAACGGCGCGAGCGTCTGGCACCCCTAAAACGCACATTCTTGCACGAGTGTTTACAAATAAAGAAGTTTTCGGGTCCACGCTTTCTAGTTTGTGCCGAAGGTGCGGAGCAGAGGAACCTTTACAACACTGTACAGTATTTTTTTTTTTTCCAATTCCTTTTTTTCTCTTTCTCTCCTGTCCCATTTTCTTCCTTTTGTTTTTCTTCGATGCTCCTCCAGAGAATACTTTTCATTCCTGAAGGACTCCCTGCTCAGTTTAGGGGTTTAAATTTGACGATTTTATTCGTGAGAATTGTTAACACTAATCTTCTATTTGTTTTATTTTGCACCCACAAACAGTAAGTTTAAACAAAATACTGAGGTTTTTAATGCTTGGTGTAAGAACTTGAGAACAGCACTCCTGTGAGACTTAGAGCGGCTACCAATGTTTGACTGTCCTTTTGAGGCCACTAGGACCTTTCTTTTCGGGTTTCCTTCCCGTACACATTTGTAGTTATATTTATCGTCGAATTAAAAAGTCACATTTAGTCCTTTCAGTGCCTCTATTCTCGGGAAAAAACTTTCTGAGACAGTTCAGCAAAAACGATAACATGTTTGGGTACCTCAATGCTGTATACGTGTAAAATAGAACATGCAACAATTTGTGCACTTTCAGTAAATACCGCTAAGAGCTAATCCCTGACGTTGATAACTTGCAAAAGCACCCATTAGTCTTTCTCTCCGCTCAATAGCAGACGCAGAAAAAAAAAAGGAAAGAAACGGCTTTCCGTTCCTCAACTCGCCATTAGACCAAGCGATTACTGAATATGACGCTAATTGTATACCGCCAGTGTTTATCATATTCATGTTCTGGGGTTGGAGAAGAATAAAGTGTGGGTTGGAGCTTTAGACACTGTTAGAGTTCGGTTACTTTCATTTTTGATTGAACAAGAGCCATTACCCGAATATTTTGTTGATGCTGATTGTCATGAATCCAAACACTCGACTCTGTCTCATGACAGTCGAGTACGTCACAGTGTCACGTGACTCGTGGTGAGGGATCGTGAGGCCTTGTGACGTCACGGTGTCAACTACGCTAATATATGTGGTGACGTTTTCCATGAAGTAGACTTGACGCAGTGAGCCACTTGTATACGCCACTGGGCCACGTAGCGTGACATTTTTGACAACATGTCTGGACACCATGACGTCACATGACCACGTGACATGATTAACTATAGTGCCAATACAAAAGTGTCAAAAGAACCCATAATGTTTTATGCACACATTGCAATTCGGTATATGACAATTTGATCACTATCAAGAAATACCCCCAGCTGCCAATTGTCCTCTCTTAAAGGGATACTGAACCAAGGAATTTAGTGTCCATAATAAGTGGCGCACGTTCTTTCCACGAGCCAGCAGCCGCCGATGTGCGCGAGCACACGCAACAAAAATGACGTCAAGGGCCTCCATTCGCGGTTGAGATGACAGTGAAATGTATGGGCTTCGGACCAAAGGAGAATAAAGACAAGTTTTTCATCTACACAGTGGTGTCTAGCGTAAAAGGTAAGCTATGAATTGGTCTAACAAGCACGTAGCTTTCACTTGTAGAGATGAAAAGCCTATCTTTATTCTCCTTTGGCCCGAAGGCCATGCATTTCACTGTCCTCTTAAGCGCGAATGGAGGCTTTGACGTCATTTTCGCTGCGTGTCCTCGCGCACACCGGCGGCTCCTGGCTCGTGGAAAGAACGTGCGCCACTTATTATGGGTACAAAATTCTTTGGTTCAGTATCCCTTTAAACACGTATTTTTTAATACCAAAAAAAGAAAAAATTACCGTGAACCGTTTTGAGTCGCTTACGGTTATATTTTTTTCCCATTCATCTCTGGTTCTGTTCCAACATGCCGGTGAAGATTTCGGTTCAGTTCAGTTCCGGTTCGGCTAAAAAACGGTTCGGTTCCGGTTTTCGGTTAGGTTCGGCTTCGGTCTGACAATCTGCTCAGCACTTATGTCACGCCTTCGACTGACGTACAATTATTTAGACCAGACTTGCTAGAAATCCATCGCTATTACACCGCTCGCTCATATGAACACCGCCATTCGCTAAAGTTTCGTACGATGAGATATCATGGGTGGGGCTTCGTTCACTAAAACATCGTTCGATCAAGTAATTGCCTCCCAGGTCGAACCCAACTCAACGTTAATCACGGCACATGGTAGTAGGTTAATACTTCAAGGTTTATAGTTTGTACCATGTTGAGAAAGTGAATAGGGAAGTACCTGTAAAAAGTAACATAGCTTAGTTACAAGTTACTGGAATGTGTACCTAAGATACAGAAACAGATAAGAAAAAATGAAAGTACCTAGGTTTGCACCTCAAATACAACGAGAGTACCTAGATACCAATTTCCAGTTACTTGTACCTAGGCACTTTAGAACCCATTGTTGCTATCATCGTTGTGTGCTAACATTCCTTTTTTTATCGTGCTCCACTAAAGAGGCGTAAAGCTGTTTTTAAGTCACCCAAAATAAATAAAATATATAAATAAATAACAACGCTGTAGAGGTTAGAGGCGTGAGTGAATAGCTATTTGAAAGGACGCCTATTGAACAGCGCTTGTGCTGTCTTTCAAGGCTAAGCTAGCAAGCCAATTGTAAATGAAACAGGAAAATAAGTAAACCGGAACGAAATGTTTGTGCTCCTTAGAGCTCGGCATAACAAATTCCGGTTGGAAATGCCTGTGACTTGCACAACTTGATAGATAACATCTGAAACAAAATACCGGGTTCACATTTGTTTCTTCGATTATTTCATGCAGACTACTGAAAGCAGATGCGAAAGTACCCTGCCTGCAAATGCGTTCTATTTCTTTTCACTAAACTGTGGGCCCACTCGACTCGCAGATCATGTACGTTGGAAACGCCGCATCGGCGCATCTTTGCGGAGTGAGAGCGCTTTCCGAGAACCCCACGATCTCAGGGCGTGCCTTCACCATCACCGACGACACCCCTGCGGACATGTACGAGTTCATGCGGCCGTTCCTGGCGTGCCGCGGCTTCGACGTCTTCCCGATCGCCATGCCCTACCCCGTGGCTCTGCTGCTGAGCATTTTGCTGACGCTCCTGCTGGTCCTGGTGCGGCCCTTCTTCAAGCTCTGGACGCCCCTGATGACGCCGTCGGCGGTGACCTACACCTGCTACGCGCCCTTCTTGGACGGCAGTGACGCTCGGGTCGCCCTCTCCTACAAGCCTCGGTTTAGCGTTGAAGAGTGTGTGCGCAGGTCGCTGCCTTATTACCGCACGGTAAAGCTCTGAACGCGGGACAGATCGTTCACGCGACGTGCAGTCGTACATTGTGTGGATGTCGCACTGGCACCTATTTTCCGTCCAAAACAAGTCGGCTTGGACCCTTACCACATAGAAGACAAGGCTCGCGCCTTTCCCCCCTCGTCCATACTTGATCACTAGTGGATGCACGCAGTGCCACCCACCTTGCGTCAGCACCGCCGCCAGCGAACCTAGCGTCTCCCAACGAAAGTAAGGCTAGCACACGATGTCGTCAAGACAGAAGCGTCTGCTTCTCTGCTGTTGCTAACTTCACAGTGTTTGCCGCTTGAGGTGGGTCGTATCCGCTAACAATGACCACATGCGCAGGCGTTGTCTTCTATAGGAGGCATTGGTTGGACCAGTAGCACCTAGAATACAAAGTCTATACCAAACATGCTAGTGGGATTGCCACTGAGTGTCGTCGACTACAATGTGGTTGATCTCACTCTTAATAAATGCCTGCTGCAGCTTGACTGCGAAAGAATAGACCTATTGCTATATTACCCAAGCATCAAGGAGAATGCAGGGATTGGTGTTCCACGCGTCGCGCTTGCTTGCCTCAGCAGTAGTAAATTTTCTAAAGCAAAAACCTAAACAATTTGTATCTTGCACGGGCGTTCGTCAACGCTTTATTTTGGTTATTTACTTGGCACCTTTTATACGGGGAAGGCGTGCGCGTGTGGCGCGTGGAACACCGATCCCTGCATTCGCCTTGATTCTTAAGTAATATAGCAAATGGTCTATTGCCGATGCTCCGCTTCGTAAGTTGAATCGGCTCTGTGAGAACATACCGTCACAAGTGGTCTATAGAAGTTTAGCGATCGACGTTTATTTACATTATGTACAGTTCAGCTGAACTGCTGGCCTAGTCTTAGAATTCAATATGCCTCAAAGCACAATAGTTCCCTTGGTCTTCTTCCTTTTCTGGTCACTGGCGGGCCTGATAGCCGCTACAGTACTCCTTTAGTCGGCGAGACGGTTCTGGGAAAAAAATGGACGTAGCGGTGTGCAGGTTTGCCCACATAAGTTATCGGTGAGTTGGTATCAGGTGATTCAATGTGCGCAGGTTTGAGCCTGTCGATTGATATTCTCTCAGGCTTGCCGTTCAACAGTATCTCGAAGTGTTGTAGAGTTATTTTGAGAACTGGGAACGGACCATCAGAGGGTGCGTGAAGGCAGCGCCGCAAAACGCCCTTCCGCATGAAAATATGGGTGATTACAGAAAGGTGTCTATCTGCTAACGAAAACGGTGCCTGTTGATGAGTGTCTTGCTGGTGTGGGATATAATTGCGACATAGCATCTTTGAAACAGTGAACGTAGCTCAATAGGTCGGGGGTGATCACTGAGTCAGGAGGGATGAAATATTCCTGCGGTAGGCGAAGTGTCGTTTCATAAACCACTTTGGCGGCTAAGCATGAACGTTGACCTCTGAAGATTCTTCAAAGACCCAAAAGCACTAGAGGCAACGATTCTGTCAAATGGGATTCAACCTGTAGGGCAATGAGGGCGGTCTTGAGATGGACGATTAAACATTTCAACTAATTCATTTGCTTCTGGGTGATAAGATGTGGTTCTTATTCTGCTGATATCAAGGAGAGGTGTGATTTGATTAAAGAGTGCAGATTCAAACTGCCGGCATCTATCCGTGCTGATAGTTCCTGGCACGCCGAATCGCGAAATCCGCATCTGTAGAAATGCTTGTGCAACTGTGTGAGCCGTGATGTCTGCAATGGGAAGAGCCTCGAACCATCGCGTGAAACGATCAGTAGCCGTAAGGATATATTTGTGGCCTTGTGATTCCGGCAAAGGCCCAACAATGTCCAGATGTACCTTTGCAAAGCGAGTTTCAGGAAGTTAAAAAGCGCCTGTCAGGCTGTGTGTGTTACGCTGAATTTTCGCCCGTTGACATACAAGGCAATTTTTTTACCCAGCTTCTGACATTGATATCTATGTCTGGCTAAACGTACCGAAAGGTTGGCAGCTTTTGAGATGATATCATGCCTGGATGCGAAAGCCCGTGTAAAAAATCAGAATTCCCACATTAATAAGAAGGGAACTAATGGGCTTGGAGAACCGGCAGAGTTGTCGCAAGTCAATGGTTTGTTCAGTCCAAGGAGAGATATGTCTTTGATGCGCCATGCACCTGATGAACTTCGGAGTCTGTGAAGCTCTGAGTCCACATGATGTGCCTTCACGAGTGCGGTTGCAGTGAGAGGTGGGGCATTACCACCAGTGATCTGGGCCACTTCCGGTCGAAATATAGCATGTCCCCAACTGCACTTTCTTTGCCCTTTATGTGTCGGACGTAGGGCCTAGGGGAAGTTGTTTCAGCGCGTAACCGCATAATCAGAGCAACCTTTAGCGAGGAATCTCCTTCAATCTTTAACCTTTTGTCCTAATCGACAATTATACAAACTGGCAGTTCCCAAGATTATGGTATAATGTGCTTTTATTGCACTAGCTTGCATTCATTCGCAGTACTTTTTTTAAGTAAAAAGCTGGCGTTTGTTTAAGTGACGTGCACGCAAACTGTTACAAAGCATTCGAACCAGTCATTCGGAAAAAAGGGCATTACTAACGTTCATAAAACAGTTCATTTATTCTCTTGGAACTCAAAGCATAGTTAGCAAGTCTTCAAATTTTGATTGACCAGTGCACAAAATGTTGCACCCAATGTCCCTTAGAAAGTAGTATTAGTAGGCTCTTTACCTTGCCGATCGATATCAATAGTCCACAGTACCCTCCATGCGTATAATTAGACTCCTCTTAGATGGTTGTCTAATCTATCATTCTAACATCTAGAATCTTAAAAAAAAAAAAATGCAGCCCCACTCTCTTGATATCCAGAGATAGCACCACACATATGATCATTTCGTTAAATGTGATTTAACTCGGAAATAGAAGATTAACTGCACATTTTTCTCTTTCATAGGATTTATTGCAGCAATCTTTTTTTTTCATCAAGAGTGCAATTTATTAGTCGGTCAATTATTTAAATGTTCTAATTACCTGAACAAGGCGACTTATATTTGTGTTCATCCCTTACACAAAGAGCAGTCTTGTTGCAAAATGTTGACTACCATTCTTTTCAGTCTCTTCAATACCTTTTTCAAAAGTGTGAGCCGCCTATAGAACGTTCCACCATAACTTGGTGAAGGGCAACCGCCACAGCCCCCTCGAGCCAATCAGATAGACGGAGTGAACGTATGGGACAAATCTCTGCAGAAGGAGAGCGCTCTGATGATGTGTTGTCACATGCCTCTTTCCAACGTGCATATTGGCTCACTAGGACTATAGCCTTTGCTGTTTGGCAAATTATGATGAAATGAATTACAGTCGCCACTGCCCTAATTACCCAAGGCCTTCATACTTTGGCCTTTTTTTGGACAGGTATGTTAGGTCATCAATCACTGTGGACTCGGCTCAGCACCTATTGGACTCGAATGCTACATTATCTTCCGAGGTGAACTGGGGCCCGTTCACGTGCTTTACGTTAAAAAAAATGGTGACTCATTGCTGCTTGATGCGGTTTTGAAAAGTGTCTACTCTCTTATACGTATGTGAAATGTCCCGCTATATGACAATGTATGAACACACGCTATTAAACTAGATACTCAGGGATTTGTTCGTTTTTATGCAAGCACCTCACGTTTCACATTTTTTTACATCGAATATGTATATGACCCACTGGTCGTATTTCCGGAATATTTTCGTGTCGTCGTCCTCACGGAAAAAAGCAAAGAAACAAGAAAACCTTCAGAGATTGGAGCGAAAAGTGCATATCACGCATACAACATACAGCACAGCATTCCTTTCAATAAAGAACATGTACAAAACAAGCATCCGAACCAGATAATTAATGATTAGGCGCTCCTGATAACAATGCGAAGCACTTAATTAGCGCTCACCGCAAACGTTTCACGGTAAAGATTACTGTTGAGCATGCTGCCACGGTGACGGCAGCTTGCGATGTGGAGTGACGTCACTGCCTCTTGCGTCCCAAGCGAGTAGCGGCCGCTACGGCTTTGCAAGCCTGTCGAGCTTGCTTATGTCACCAGTGCTAGAAAGCATAAATCCTACATGGACAACAACGTTGGAGAATTAACAGGGGCCTTCGGTTGTACAGTTTAATGTCTTGGAGAATTCGAGTTGGTTTACAAAAATATTGGAAAATTTTTATACCTGGAGAATCTGTAACGTTTCACCGACTTTTCAACCAGCAGTGTTGATTAGGGCCTTGTTTATTATTCTTATGAACCGGAAGTTCTCTCGGACGTCAATGACTGGAGTGCCGCCGAGCAGCATCAGGCATGAAAAGGGTATATAAAAAGTGTTGGTATACTGCATATACTTTTTGTTCGTCAGTCATTTGGTATAGTGCAGTGGGCAACCGTTGCAGGTGATACCACAGCTTCGCTGGTCAACCACCTCCACAGCGTGGATTGGCGCCACGACATTTCTTCTTGTGCCTTCCCAAAATTGTGGTGGTATTAATAGACGGCTCGCACAAGCACTCTTTACAGTGAACTGAAACGTGTCATCCCACTGGGCCTCCGAGAGAGTACCTGGGCTCACGGAGCTCATCGTTCAGGCAGCCTCCCATTTTGACCAACGGCCGCACAAGATAGGAAACTGTATGCAACGCCCATGGCACATGGCACACACGGCTTGGCGCGCTTCTTATTGCACATGGTAGTTTTGATTTCCTCTGACTTCGCCTTGACTCTGGAACAAATCTGACTGGTTTTTGCTGGGCTGAAAAAAAAAAAAAAAACTAAAATTCGGTAGCGGTTTTTCACTATTTTTTTTTCTTTTTTTAATTATGTGAAACTATGTAAATACGGGATGACCATTGGTCGCTTTATTTCATACCTCATGTTGTGGAGTGGCTGCCCTTTGTTCTCTTCAGCAGCCTGCCTGCCAGGTCTGACAATAATGTCGATGGATATCCCGCGTTTTTGAGTACCATTTTTCAACTTAAAGGGCAACTCCGCTTCATTTTCGATGCTGAAAAAACAACGCAGTTCTCTTTAGTATCACCTAGAAAGACTACACGTCAAGTTTTACGACGTAATTAAGCCTAAAAGATTGTTAAACTGGTAAACAAAGTTTGAGATGCCTCAAGTCTCCGAAATCTGCTAATTCTAGCGGCCGATGTGCGGCGCAGAGAACAGCGCAGTCAATACCGCGTGTTGGCGCAGCCAACACTGCGCCGCACGTCATAGTCTGGGACCGCTTTTTTTCTTGTTTTTTACTTTATTGAGGCGCAGCCTACAGGCGGCGCCAGCAGCGTGCATACCGATGTCCACGTGATCCAAAACGCGCATGCGCTGATGAGTGTCTGAGCGAGCGCTCCGCGCTCGTCGTCGGGAAGACCGAACCTGCTGCGTCTCGGAGCAACGTTTTGTGCTGCGATGCCTGGCATATTACGAGTGGTTTACTTAACTTCAACTACTAATGGTTCCAAAACATAACTTTAAAACAACTTGCCTTTTTCTGCGTCAAAACACTCTGCGGCCGCGGTAGTGCACACGTCGTTGGATAGCAGAGACCGTGGAGCAGACGACACGGCGTGACGACGCTTGCTCCGCCGATCCGTCCGTCCGCGCGGTCGGCGAGGTCGTGCGGTGACGTTCGTACCACGTGGGTTGTCCCAGACTATGACGACGCGGGGCCAATGTTGCCAGGCGCGGGCGCAGTTTCGGTTTCGGTTCGTGATCAGGAGTAAAGAAGGATTACGAGAATTATATTTCCTTTTTTGAGAAACATACGACGTCGAGCCGTATATTAGTATACCTTAGTGTATAATCACCAAAAACCCCGAAATTCCTGGAATTGAGCGGAGTTGTCCTTTAAAGTTGCCCCTTAGATTGTGGAAGCAGGATTACTTCAGTGCCAAGCCTAGCAAAATGCAATGCGGCTCTTTACAATTTTTGTGTGGGCTGACCTGTAATCAAGAATACCTTTCTTAGATATTGGACCCTACTTCCGGCAGACATGGGATTCTCCTAGGTAGATGGAAATTTCGAGATACTAGAGCTTAGCTTCTTCTGGATTCTCAAAGGTTAACTTAAGGCCCTTCCCCCCTCCCCAACACACATACACACACGCAGGAAATGTCCCCCACCAGTTCGTTCACCTACGTATCCTTTGGTTCACCGCTTTCTAGAATCAGTAAAAATCGTCAACGTAGCGGATAACCTTCTTGATACTCGTGCCGCTTAACGCTCTTTATCTGCCATGCTTTGTCAGTATATAGACGCTTTGCAGCAGCTGTGCATGGACGCCGCCATAACTGACCTTCAGTTTTTGTTTCCTCTTATTCCGTTTATTTCACTTCGTCATTACCATAGCAGGCCAGGTTATTGCCATATTAGATTCAACTGTGTCCTTTTCTAAAGCATCTGCCTTTGTAGAGGATGGTCAACTACCGTTTCAGTAGCTCGGCATCTCGGTAAGACAAGAGAAGGTCAGCAATGGCGGCTGTAATTTGGCGCGTGTGTAAAGCGTCTGTAGGAGGCAATAGACTCGTGGCTAATAGGGTGAAAACGGAAGGGAGGACCGTATCCCGAAACGAGCGCTCGTTGTGTACCTTCGACGACGCTTCAACATATCGCGCGCCTCGACCTTGCACGCGCAGCCCCAGGGGACCAGAAGGCAGCGACCGCACACCGGAGGGCGAGCGTTCGAAAGTCGCGCCCTGCTCTTCTCACCTCGTCAGGGACTATTGCATACACCTTTTCCACGACGTCGCAGCCATCTTGAATGTCGTCACTTCTGGTGTGCGGGAAAACATCGTTTTGATCTCTCCACGCCGCTGGAAGATGTTTACGAGAAATGCGTGATTGTCACTCATTCTTGTTTTGCCTCACCTATATTTTCTCGCATATTCCAGGTTGAAATGTTTTATAATTTTTTCGTGCCGCATACCAGAAACGAAACCCACGTGACTGAGAACGACAGGAAACAGAAACGTCTATAGGGAATATTCACTTGACGCCATATTTGAGGGCGCTCTTTGGAGCGCATGCTCAGAACGAGCTCAGATTAATAGGTTGCTAAGGCCGCCAATATTGATGGTGTGGAATGCACGTTGCAAAATAACTGCTGAAGCTCGCCATCAGCACACGCTCAGCAGTCGAGCTCACAGTCATGGCCGCCGTTGAATGCTCCCTATGTGGTGTATTCACGAGCGGCCATAGCTGTGTGCGCGGCTGCTGACCGATTGCGTGCTGACGGCGAGCTTCCGCAGTTTCTTTGCAATGTGCATTCCACACCATCAAGATTCCCCATCTTCGCAGCCTGATAATGTGAGCTCGTTCTGCGCATGCGCTCTAAACAGCGTTCTCAAACATGGCGTCCAGTGTATACCTCCTATACTGTGGACGTCAATCCAGGTGGTCAGCTCAGGGCCCACTGCCGCTGCCGGATTGACCGTCGACGGTGGCACTTGTCGACCGTCGTCCGAAGGAAGGCACAAGGCGGCGGCGTATCTCGCGGGCGAGCATGCAGCGCTCCCGCGCGGGACTCCGCAGCACCGCTCGGTTTTCGCTCGCCCGCCTGGCCAGGTACGGGAGCAGCTCGGTCAGAGGACCGTACGGGATGGACTTGTAGACGTTGTAGCCACCCAGAGCTGCGAACGGAAAGAGGTGTCCAATAAAGCTCGCTCACACCCGAACTCGGTGGGAATGACGACCGCGTGCAGATGTCAGTTGCACACATACATTGCCGCGTCCATGACCGAGTTTGTACCGCCTGCTGCTCCCACGTGAAGGCATGGAGTTCGAACTCCGCCAGACCGCGGCTCTTCATTTTATCTCTCTCCACTCTTCTAGAACGCTCTAGTAATTTCTTGTAACGTATCGCATCTTTCCTGCGCAAAATGTTCTAAACAACGTAGTACGTATAAGAGAAACTAAGACTTGCAATATCTGGGAAGTCGCCCTACCGTCGCAAATGCAGGAGGCTCTCTCTATGTATACATATTTGTTTTCCTCGAATGCACAAGTTTTGTCTCGATAAACGTTTATTTTCAGTTCCAAATTTGCCTTCCATTTTTTATTCGTGCCAATATTGCCGCGTTCATGGCTGAGTTGGCATCGCACGCGGTTCCTACACCAAGGTACGGCCAATTTGAACGCCACCGGCCAGGTTGTTGACTTTATCTTTGGCGATTGTTCTAGAACGTTCAAGCAGAAGCTTGTATAGTATAACGCAATTTTTCCCGAGAAAAACGTTCTAGACTACGCAGTTGGTATAAAAAAAAAACTGAAACCGGCTACACCAAGTGAGTCGCTCTTTCGTCGGCGTCGCAAAATGTGCGGTTCCTTCCGGTGTACCTTTGCGGGCACAAGTTCGCCTTTGAACCTTTCAATCCCTTGTCAATGCGCTATTTTCATTTGTGGAAACATACTAAAAAAAAGAGAAGTCTGTGAGTTCACTTTCCCGCCGAACACGGAGCCAGCTAATCACGGCAAACATGAGTAAGATATCCCAGCGAACGACGAAGCTCAGAATAAAACTAAATCCGGAAAATGCTACCCGAGTAGGGACAACGGGCAACGGAAACGCCATGCCGCGGTGTCTCTGGAATGCACGCATCGTATTTTCTTTTCTTTTTTGTCCGAACATAGTTTTAGTTTTGCTATTGGCTTGAATCCTTCTATTGTTCGCCGTGAGTGGTTCTCTCTGTGTTCTGCAGGAAAGCAAACTAACAAACTCGTTTGAGTGCCCTAAGTAACAAGTTCGTTCCTCCACATTCAGGGCGTTTGCTTAAATAAATACTATTGTAGAGTTTATGGGCCATGGAGAGACTTGCACAGTAATTATTACGAGCAATTATTTTACTCCTAATCGATTACTATTTGGATTAATTTTGGAGTCGTTTGAATGCATTTATAAGCAAGCAATCGCAAGAGTAATCTGATTGCTTTTGGAAGTACTAAAATGACTTGTAACGGTCACTATCTCCCCCCCCCCCCCTCCCCAATGGCGCCATTTGTCTTCACAAGCGTCCCAACAAGGAATCCACGAACCAAGTCTCTGAGACGATAATCTTTTACTGAAATTGGCCGGCTAAGGAGATAATGATGGTGTGGAATGCACGTTGCGTTCTCCGCCGACTAGCATTCAGGGCTAAGCAACTCACTTCCCGAATGAGCCATACTTCCGCGAACGGGCGCTACTTCTCATGAACTCATGACGTGGCGGCATTCCAACGGAGCTTCACAGACCTCTATCAGACACAATTTTGAAATCTGTTAGTTCGTTTTAAAATTAGCTTTCTTGAGTTCCCTGCCGGCACCCCAGAAACGCTAGTCTAGGCTAGTGTTTCTGGGGTGTTGGCAAAACATAGACAACGGGGGTTTCCCCAGGAATTGAAATTATGGGGGGGCAAATTTTAGCGGGGTTAGGGGGTGGAGGCATTGAGAATATAGGAGTCGTTGCGAATTAAGGGGGTGCCTTCGGAGAAACAAGGAAGAGGGGGGAGTACACCCCCGTAAAGGGGAGGGGGGGTGTAGGGAAACTCACTGATAGGCAATATCTAAACAAAAGAAAGAAATGCGAACATTTTGTTTCCGTATCCCTTTAAGTTCTACATTCGTCTACCGTCATCTATTTTTACTCGTGAAAGTATGAGAAAAGTGGCGAGACCAATATACTGAGCGAACTCTGCATCAGGAACCACTCTGGCTTGATTATTCTGCATTTCTTATATCCTATTTTATGTGCATTCAATGTTATTCACTGAGATCTTTATTTTTTTTTTTTTCGTTGCGCAGTTTATGGTACTCAAAACCCCTAAACGCACCACGTCACTTTAGTCTTCAGAAGGAAGTATTATATGAGAAGTAGGAATAAAACAGCAACAAATCGGAGGCCTTTTTTTTTTTTTGTTTTTACGCTTCCACAGGGTGTGTATTAGAGTGGCTCAAAGTTGCGGGGTTGGCGGCCCTCCCAAAATGGGGACAACACTGTCGTCTACTAACGGAGCCGTAATCTTATCTCTCACTCATATGTAGCCCTTTATAAGCTGCTTACACAGTTATTCGAGCGTAACCACTTCTGACATAACGCGAGATAGCTTTAAGCGCAGACCGCATGGCGCGTTTTTGCTCGCGATTCAGGCGCGTCGGCGTCAAACTGACGTCATTTCCTGCGCGCGGGCGCGAGTTTTCACGGGAGCGTTGGTTTCTTGCCGATCGAGAACAAGACGCGCGCCGAGGCGTCGAAGCGGCTTTCGCCCAATGGGGGTCGGTCGAACTATCACGTGATCCTGCACAGTGCGCTGTTTCGTATTCAGCACATTTCAAAGTGTTCAAAAGCATTTTTATTTCCCATATAAAAATTAAAAAGGTGTTTCTTTTGACACACGAACCCGTTTTATTTACTTATTTGTTCATTTAATTCTCATTTTGTAGTATTTGCGTCAACATTTACAGCGCGTATTGAGAATTCCGTTATCTGGCAACGCTGATAACGCGCGGCCGGTGGTCCTTGGCTTTGTCTGCATGCAGGTGCCCCCGCGTCAGCTTCCTCGCACACGTTCATAGCGCGTCGCGTTTTCGCGTGCAGAAAAACGCGCCATGCGGTCTGCGCTAAAGAGCATGCAACTTCACGTATTTCGTCAAGTACGCGTTTCTTTTCGTCGCTGCGTCTAAAGATAACGCAATAACACGTATACAGATTACTGCATGCGACGCATTGCATCACCTAGTCGAGGAAGTCTTTATTTGAACTAATTTATCTCGACCTCTATGAGTGCTTTCTAACTCGAGACTTTCACGGGCACAAACCGATTCAGTCGTCTCACGTGAACAAGGTCAATAGACAACGGGAGGCAAAATGGTGGCCACGGCCGAAAAGGCGGCGCTTGCCCTCAGAAAAAAGCATGTCACCCGTGTAGCGAGGCGAAGCCAGCAAGCAACATCAAGGCGCTCTACACTGTACATTTCTTGAAAGGCCTTTTCTAAATAAAACGAGGTCCATCTCGCTTACCAAGGGGGAAGGTCGTCTGGTCATACATTCCCAAGAGCTGGCCAAAGCTGACTCGGGGATCGTCAGGCTGCAGCCCTAAAGCTCGCATCCTGCACCAACCAAAATACATCCATTGTAGTATGAGGAGACGTAACACCACTGTACTCTCAGATGCTAATTACCCGTACTTTCCAGCGACGCGCAGGGAACACTAATCAATCTTTAATGAGCGAAGCCAAATGAGAAGGCTGCGTGGTTTAGTGGAAAATGATACGGATCCCATTTCACCTTTATTCAACTGGTTAAAGCAGGACCGATTGTTAAAGTTCCGATTGCGTACCGGTGCAGTTCACACTCAGACGTTTCTGAGAACGTGTTCCCCCGCGAGTCGGCAGCCCCTTACTCTGAAATTGCTGTTTGAATGGATTCCTCGTTGTGAGATGCCACGACCAGGTTGCACTCCCGTTCAGAGTCAGCAACGAACCACATAAGCCGACGCAGCAGCCTGCAAGACGACAAGACAAACATCTCTGACGGGATAAAAAGAAATAAAATGCGCGCTTAATCGTATTCGTGCCGCTTGATTGGTCATCATTTTGCTAGCCTTGACAGGAAACGAATAAAGTAGGAATGGCGTTCACCAACCTGTTGTAGTTGTTGTTAGTCTCTTCGTACGTGCCGAAGACGGGGCTGGAATCTCCTGCCGAGAGCGCCCTCCTCCGCTCGGAGTCCATATAGGCTCCACGAACCAGCTTCACCCCAAAGCTAACTCCAAGCGACGCCGCCAGCGCAAGGTGGCGCTCCAAACGATCCTGGGTACTCTGCGTTGTGGCCGAAAGCATCACGACAAGACAGAAGACAGTGTAGCCGCTGAAAGCAACTCCGCTCAATTCCGAAGATTTCCGGATAATGGGCGATTTCGCATTAAAAAGCCCTAGTAAAAAACACAACGTCATTTGCTTCGCGGGAAATGGGATATATATATATATATATATTTAAATCTAATTTTAAACACGAGCAGGAATCGAAATTGAAACTTCGGCTCCGTCCGGCAACATCCGCCTCTGGCCGCCAAGTGCATGGCTATCACGTGGTACGAGATGTCACGTGATCCTCTACGCAACGACGGGCGGGCTTGGGGTGGGCGAGTGCTAGGCACAAGTGTCGTCTGCACCGGACTCTTTACCACATTTTTGGTGTCTAGGGCATTCGACGACGTCTGCACAACTGCGGCATTACACTGCGCACGTAGCGTCCGTACTGGGGACGAAACTCCGAGAGACAATAGGGAGTTTTCGTAGGGAGTTTTCGTAGGGAGTGTTCGCCGTCCCGCAACGCTCTCCGCAACCCGCTACGACACCCGGAGCTCTACAGTCAAGGCTATCGGCACGCAGGCGCAGTAGCGGCTTCTTCGTTATGAAGGGCTTAGCGGAGGGGTAACGCGGTCTACGAAAACTCCCTAATAGGGAGTTCTAGAACAACGTACGCAAGTGTAGCGCACGCGAGCTCTAAATTTAGCGCTTTTGTTAGCGCACGCTGCTGTATAGAGTTTTAGAATAGCGTTTCTCCGCCGCGAGGCAAAAGCCCAAGCATCTCACGCTTGCAGCGCCACCAATTAAGATACACACACTATTTTTATTTCACACACGAAATGCTGTGACTTAAAAATTGGCACAACGCACCTTCGCCGAGAAATGTTCGCACGTCACAAGCATCAAACTGCCGGTGATCGTTGCCAAACCGTGCGCAATGTTGTCCCCTATTAAAAGCCGCAGTCACGAGAATGCCACCGACGTCGCGCTCGCGACTCCGCCAAAGCCACCGCAGATATGGTCCTGGGAGCCGCCATTTTTGAACTGTGCTCGTCTTATTACAGACACTGAAATGTTTGGTTCAGCACCCCTTGAAAGGGACACTGACACTCCCCAATTTTTGTTTTCTTTTAATATTTTTATTAGGTTATTGAATGTGGCTTCAGAAGACAACCCACTCAATATTTTGCTGCAGTGTCACGTTTATTTTGATGAAGTAAAAAAAAAAGGCAACTGCTCGAAACCGAAACTGGACCTGGGAGGAAGAAGAAATGTAGAGGAGGAATTGCCGGAAGTCACATGGCTACACTCGACCATTTTTTTTTCCTTTTCATTTTTTTTTTTTTTTTTTTTTTTGGGGGGGGGGGGGATGTTAAGCAGACCAGAAACGCACACGTCCCACGTAGCACGAAAAATGGAAAAGTCAAGCGCTTGGTGCTTGACATTTGCGCGTGTTTCAAGCTCTTAGCCATTCGTGCTCGTAAGGCGAGCGGCGACGCCTTCGAGCGAATCAGCTGGGTGGTCGGCCGTGTCGTGCGGAATAGTTCCTAATTCTTTGAACAGCAAAGCAATTATCTTCCGAAGCTAGAGAAATTCGCCAGTAGCGCGAACAATAGTTCTGAAGTAAAGATCTGTCGTCCGCCGCCAACACTTAGTACGCTTCGCTCAGCCGTCCAGCCCGCGACTCCTGTGACACGACGCCACGTTCAGAATTACGAATACAGTGCAGAGTGCCTCCGGTTCTTTGTGCAACTTTCTTTCTTTTTTTACAATCAACGTGTTTGCAGTTCTTAGAAGCCACAGAAAATGAGTATCATATTGTCTTTTTTCTTTTTATTTGAATATTGAGTGTGCACCTTCGGTGACCGACGACTTTGGTTATTGTTAGTGGTTGTGTCTAAACCATAGAAAACGGCACGTGACCACGGAGGAGAAAGTGAGCACGACTTATACCGGCAAGTTCTCGATCGGCGGTTTTTCAGCCAGAAAGAAAACGAATTTCGAGCCGCAAATAGTGTTCTGGCTTCTGGGTATTGTTGGATTCACATACGTCACGTACAAATCACAATCTTACCGAGCATAAATACCCTGTCAGTGTCCCTCTGAGGATGAACGGAGTGTAGTATGGTGGCAGGAACGCGTCTCCGACTGGCGTGTTTACCGCGTCCAAAAAAGGTGGTCCCTAGATTTTCGCCCGATGACGTCATACAAGTGCCACGCTGTCACCTGCCGCGACCCTGGCGGCGTCCCAGCAGCGGTGGCGGGTGTGCCAGACGCCTGTTCTGCTGCAGTTCGCTCTCCAGCTTGACAGACCACGGAAACTTCGAAAGCCAGAAGTTGGGACGCCGCGACGAGAGCCACACTCGCGTTCGCTCGTGCTTTTCGCCGGCATTTCTACGACCAACCGCCAGGATCGCGGCGTCCGACAGCGGCACACTCCGGCTTTTCTGACGTCATTCGTCGGCATTCCGGGACCTCTTTCGACGTGTGGGCGAAAAAAGGACGCCAAGCACTTCAGTCGGAGACGCATTACAGGCATTGTGCCTAGTATATACCGGGTGTCTCAAATAGCGGCCAGGCTCTTTAAATCGACCGCAAAATTCGGTTTCTTAACCTATCGCGCTAAGATTTCGTGCAGCGTCACCCACAGGTGGTGCATTTTTTCTATAAATTTTGCAAAGAGCCAACTCACCGGAGGAAAAAGTAAACAAAAAAAAAGGCTCTATTGTTTGAAGATCGGTGGCTTCGCTAGGTTTCCATAGGAGTTAAAGGGACCATGAAATTATTTTAAAATCGAATTTCATCCACCGCACGTCGTAAAAGGTGTGAAAAGGAACACAAAAACACAAGACTAGGGAGCCAAAAAAAATTATTTGCTATAGAACTTTTAAAAGAAAACTGGACTCTTTTGCGACTTCTTTCCTTCGAAAGCTCTGCCTTTTCACTACGATGCATACGCAGAATCGGTGCACGTCAGCCGAATCCACATCGCCTATTGGGTAAGAGCCTACCTCACCAGCACCGCGATCGTAAACAATAAATAGCCGGCGAATGTTTCCTAAAAGTTTTGTTAAATAATATTCAGATCCACATTTTGTAGCATAATTAGAGATGTGTGGCGAAAATTGCCAAATTTGATAATGCTGAGAGCCAAGCGCCATCTATCGTGTGGTAAACGAAGCAACTACTGCGCGTGCGCAGTAGGGCAGGGCCAAGTGCAGAACGGTTATTTCCTTTGGTTTCCTTCCTCTCAAAACTCTGACTGACTGAACGTTTATTTTTCTACGTGTTCATCTCGCGCGTGCCGACTTCAAGCAGCAAGAAAGAAATGTACTTAAAACAAACCACGACGAACAAGAACGCTGGATCCACAAACACCCGAGAAGAGCGACAACAGCCGCGAATCCCGCTCCGACGAAGTTCTCAGAATATAGGCCTAGCAGGCACTCCGACTCGGCGCAGCGCTGCTTCGTCGTAAGACCGTCTGCCTACGACCGGCTGGCGTACAGAATGGAATACGCCCGCGCTACCCTTGTGGACCCTTCCGTATTATAGTTTGATCGCTGACCTCAATTTTAGGTTAAGAGATGAGGTCATTCTCTTCCCCTTGTTTTCCGAGGCAGTGTTGACGAACACTCGTCGAAAAGGGACCCTCGTCGATCCTCTCCTTGTTTTGTGTGATATAGAGCTGAAATAAACGCTGTATGGATTACCTTCGTAGCACGGTATGTACACTTTGTTATTGGTATGCAATTTTTATTCTGACAGACTGCACGTCACTGTCGAGCTGTAACAGTTCGTGGGAGGTATACGTGCAATACCGGTCCAACCTTTCTTTGCCGAGTGTCGCGTCAGTATCGAGTTGCAATTGTAAAAGATCGGTCCCGAAGCGCTTACCAACAGCGCGAATACAGCACTTCATCAAACGCGCGCGTCCGCTCCGAGTGTGAACAGGTATTTACGTGGCTCTTGCTGACAGTTCAAACGTATCTTTTTTAACGTCGGCTCGCTCCTGCATCTCCGAGACCGCGAAAAACGCCGCGGCAAATTGTTCCCATCTTTACTTCCCAACAGGCATACCGGCGTATGGGACTAGTCCCATGCTGTCGCTGTAGCGCAACGTATCTCATTGAATTTCGTTCAGCTGCGATGCGGCGATGAGAGGCGCCGATTCAGAAAATACGTCGGTGACATCGGCGCAGTAAAACCCACCGGCGCACCCCAACTCGCTAACGCTCCCATCTCCTACTGCAGAGAGAACTTCCGGTTCCGGAAACATCGTACGTCACGGCTTGTTTTGCGGTCAAGAAAAAGTCGATATTTCATTAATTTTTTGTGTAGAAGTTAATAGACCGAGACGAAAACGGATGCCTGTTCGGCATTCAGTGAACATTGACGGTTTATTGTAAAAGTTATCTGGGAAAATGTAAAAAAGTCATTTCATGGTCCCTTTAAGCCTTTTTCTTTCTTTAATTTTTCTCCAGGTAAGTTCGCTTTTTGCAAATTTTCTAGAAAAAAATGCACCACCTGTGGGCTGCACAGAATCGTAGCAAGAGAGGTTAAGAAACCGATGTTTACGGTTGATTTCAAGAGCCTGGCCGCTATTTGAGACACCGGGTAATAAAGAATGACCCACCATCGTGTACTCTCCAAAGCTTCGGCGTCACCTTTTACCGGTCTTTTGAACACGAATCACCGGCCATAGTTTTTCATTTTATAGTCTAGACTCGTACGTAACGCGCGTTACCAGTACCGCGCTATTTCTATCGAGTTACTTTTTTTACAGTAACGAAGTAACGACTTGGTTAGTCTTCGAGAAAATAAACGAGTTACGTATTTTTCTTACTTTTTGATATAATAACGAGTAACTATATTTAGTTACTTCTAGAGTGGAAGCTGCACAAGTTATCCTGATTGGTTCTCACCCCAGCTCGCGTCCGTTACCTTCACGACAAAAAAACAATAGTGCTAACAAAAAAAATAAAAAAAGCATTCCCAGGAACGCTGCCAAAAGCTGGGCATTATCGACGACACAAAATATGGGAACGCGGCTACTGCTTCAGAAAAGGGCAGAGCGCAAGTTAGTATGTTCGCCTGAAGATTCGTTCCACGGCATTATTCTTGGCGTACACCAGAACCTCATGGGCTGCAGAGCGGTGGTATAACACCTTCGGGACACGCCGCCCTGCACTTCTTGCACTCACCGTCAGGTAGCACTGGTACGTGTGCCCGATGAGCGGCTGGTCCTTGTTAAAGACGGCCATCAGGGCCAAGGCGAGAAGGTCGATGCCAGGGTTGATCTTCACGTGTTCGGCGTCGATCAAAGTTTTTACGCCCAAATCCCTCGACGCCTGTATCGAAAAAAAAGAAAAAAAAAAAACATTCGTTGGAAGGGTTTCGAAGGGGCGATGCAACCATTTTCGTATTTTGCGCAAATACCGCTTAGAACGGATCCCTGACGTTAATGGCCTGTGAAATACCCGTTCGTTTTCGCCACACGCAATTGAAGTCGCAGAAAAAAATAAAGAAAAACCAAACAGAGTTCACCCCCTCAACTCGCAGCCAGAACAAGCGGTCACGTGATCTGGAGCCGATTATATGCCGCCAATGTTGATCATAGGCATGCGCTGGGGTTGGCAAGGCACAGGACACGCGCTGCGTTCCGGACATTGTTATGGTTCGGCTATTGTCGTCGTTGCAGCGATTGGACACGGGCCACTACCCGAATGCTTCTCGAGCTAGCAATTATAACTAGCCCAAGTCGAGTGCCCACGCAATGCTCGGGTCCAATCTATGAACCGCATTCAAATATCGTCATATGGGTGTACCGCGATCCCCACGTTACGTCATCAAACTTTGCGAAGGAGAGATTAAACGAAAATGATCGGTTTTGTCCTTGAAATTACACCGCAACAAAAGTGTTTCTTGGCCAGTGGCGTTGCGTGCGAGTATCCTTGAGTCCCACCAGTGCCAGTAAGCTCGTGTAAAGTGAAAAACATTCCAATTGAATATCGTTGCACCGCCCTTTTACACTCTCAAACAAAAATAATACATCCCAAACCTTCAATTCGACGTACAGCGCCCTACAGTTGAACAGACGGCCCCAAATTTTACGTGGGGCTTGATAGCCATGTGGTACAACTTATTAAAATAGCTAATGTACGTTTTACTGATTACAAAAAAAAAAAATAATCGGGGTTTTCTTGGCTTTACTGTAAAAACTCGGTGTTTTCTTTCTGTGGTCTTTGATACGTAATTTAGCTATTTAAAAAGTTGTACCAGACGGTTATCACGCCCCTCGTAAAATTTCGGGCCGTCTGTTGAACTGTAGGGCGCTGTACGTCGAATTGAAATTTTGGGGTGTATTATATGGGACAAAAGGGTGTAACGATACACCCTTTTACAACTTTTTTTTTTTTTTGAAAGTGTAAGGGTGCGGAAATCACTCATCAAAGTCTTGTTACTCCGACGGATTTACTCGTTTTCTTGGTTGTCGATGCGCGATGGCCTAAGAAGATATACAGCCTGTTTCGTCCGAAATATTTAAATTAGGCGTGAAACATACGCGAGGAAAAACCGCTTTGCTTCGTGCCGCTGAGCGGCGTAACCATTACAACCTTTGCTGTCACTGGTGGTTTCTATGGTTACGACGCGCGGCGGTACGATGCGACGCGATTTCTGCTCAGATGTCTTTCACGCTTTACTCTTTATTTTAAACAAACTTTATACGTTGCCAATACAACACGCACGCTTAAGACATCCGGTAAAGAAATAGAAAGAAAAAAAAAGAAACAAGATTAGATCGGTATCATTTCTCATTGACGTTGGCATGTCATCGCGGGGCATTCGAAATGCCTGCGCCACATTGTCAGCGGGGTGAAGGGACGGTGATTGGCACCCCACGTTGGGGTAAACTGAAACCAATCGATCTACTGAATCAGGCAGGCCACCTGGCACCATCACTACTCTCGAAGCGCGCCACAGGGTGCTCGAAAGCTTTCGCTGACGACTGTTGAGTAGCGCGACGAGTGCGAGAGGCTGTGACTCCGTCACACGCGTTTCTCTTTCTTAAATATGTACGACACTCCACAACAACCGCACGACTGTGTGAACAGCTTCGTCGTAGCATCATTCGATTAGTGATGAAGACGACAATGGTGCAAAAATGTCTTGATTTGTCTGTTGCGTATACGAAAGTACGCTTTTCGAGAAGATGAAGGCACTTGCCTAAACGTCTTTCTTTTTTTTACCAAAAAATGGATATCCTCGTTTTTTTTTTGTTTTTTTTTATCTCTATGGCAATCGTAACACGCCTTAATTACAAAAAACAGTTTAGCGCTCTACTCGGCGTCCCTTCAAGTGGGCTGCCACACTCACCTGGCAGATCCGTCGTACGTTGGCGAGACCCATATGCAACAGCAAGCGATCCTTTGCTTCAAAACCGAGCTCTTGGTCCTGCATGAGCAAGCGTAATTTTCAGAAAAGTTAGATTCTTTAATTTTTACGTGCAGTCGTTTTGCCAATCGCGGCCTTTCTGGATGGATGGATGGATGGATGGTAATGGCTATACCCTTTGTAACGGCATTCCAGTTCGAAGGAACGCCTACGCGCTTGCACGTCTACTCACATGCAGCACGTTTCGTTGGCGTTGGAAACCGGTGAAACACTAGCGAGTTTTAGTATTTCGTATACGAGCGAACCCAATCACTGTGGGTTTGCGTCAGCGTTAAGTGTTCCACATTGCGTGTGAGCGGAGCCCGAAATTGCCGTCTTGAATTGGAGCATGGCGATGACGCCCAAGCGCAGCGGCGTCGCCGTCGCCGTCGCCGTCGGCGTAGCCATCAGGTCACGTGACCCCCCTGAGGTCACGTACTCCCAAGGTCACGTGACCCCCCTAAGTCACGTGACCCCGAGGCCACGTGACCCCCCTGAGGTCACGTGATCTCCCCGTGATGTCACGTGCCCCCCCCCCCCCCCCCGAGGTCATGTGACCCCCTAGGGTCACGTTACCCCCTGAGGTCACGTGGCCACCTGAGATCACGTGGTCCTGTGAGGTCACGTGACCTTCCTGAGGTCACGCGGCCCCCGTGGGGGAGTAGAAGGCAGGATGACGAGATAAGGAGGAGGAGTATACCGTCCCGTCAGTCCCCTTCCCTCCTCCTTCTCAAGAGCTGCGCTCTAAAGCGGCGTTACAGAGAGTTGTAAACGGCTTTCATTCTTTATTTATGGCTAGGGCACGAAATTTCTACAAGCTCGCCCGCTGCAGATGGAAAGGTGCAGAATCATGACTATCATCGTCATCGTCATCGCCATCGGGTTCATTAACGCCAAGAAATCAGTCGTCCGACGGATTTTGCGATGCAGGGGAAATCAGACATACCTCAGTGTGGGAACGTTCCATGGCATTGGCGACCTGGCCGATGACCTTCTCCGGAAAGGGTGATGACTCGAAGACGCTGCCGAGCCGACACTGCGGTGGGAGGAAATTTATTTCCGTTAACAAAGATTAATAAAGCCTTTCGCGCATATCAATTTCGTGTAAAGAGACACTGCATGGCTTTTGACCTTGATTTGATGATGTAAGTTGGTTGTGAATTCCTCATGTCACTCATGTTACTTTAGTAAAAAAATCTTAGGGGAGGACTCAGAACCGCAGCACGTTTTCGCTAAGTGTCCGCATTCTGAACCCAACACTCGTGAGCATTTCCAATGAGCACTATTCTGAGGGCTCTTGGCTAGTGGCGAATCAGCTATGGTCAATTACCGTAAGAGAGAATTTCGTCTCAACCACTAGTGGTACTCGAGCACCACATCTAGAGTTGCCGTACTTGGTCACATTATTTCCCAAACACCATATATCATTCTAAAAGAAAAACTAAAAAAAATTGTGTGTGTGTGTTTGTGGTTTGGTCGATATCGGCGATGAAAACTGCGATTTGCGCACGTTCCGCCCTGATGGTATTGTCTTTTGTTGACTGCGCACCACTCGGTAGTCTACTGACCAAATCGTTAGATTCATTTCTCTATACATTACTATACTCCGTTTTCAATCACGATGAACTGTAGTGCGGGCGTTACGAGTCATCGCAGCGTCACTGCGTTCCCCCGAAGATCACATGGTAGTCACACGGCGCTGGATTGACATGTAAGGCTCTGTCCTCTGTGGTCTATCGTGAGGTAAAACGGAGCGTATGAACAGGAAACGTTACGGAATCTTATGCCCCGCGCAAAAAGAAAAAGAATAAAAGAAGTAGAAAGTTGGGTAGCGTCGTTGGAGCAGCGTTGTGCCGTCGCATGATGACTCTGGTCTCAAAGTCTGAGGCTCAAAGCATCTCTTTACAACGCCTAGCCCATTTTCTTTCCTTTTTAATGCGAAAGCTCTAACTGTCCTATGGAGCGAGCCGACGTCATCAGCTTTGAAGTCGCGCCAAACGGCACCTTGAATCCTTTCTCCAAGCGAAGCCAGCTCACATGTATGAAACCACACAAAAGCCTAGACAAACGGAACCTAGTTTCCCCAATCCCAAAGGAGCGGAGTAAAGCTGATGGATTTCGGCTTCGGTCCCAATGACTGGCGTGCGTCGACAAGACTCCCATTGGCCGCTGCGCGTCAGTTTCAACGACCGCCACCCCATGGCGCTGCGTGTCCGCGAGGCAGCGGCTCCGCCGCTCTACGCCCAACTCGACCGTCGACGCAAGCACGCCGCAGACGAAAGGGAGCGGAAGAAAGGCGTGCCTGCTTTCGCATTCACAACTCATAAGAAGTGCTTTGGTGTACCTCGATCCTTTTGTATTTATGCAGACCTTGACAACAAAGTCTGATATATATATATATATATGTTCAAGGACTTTTGTTTTTTTCTATTTGCGATCGAAGATGGGAAAAGAAGGCCAGCAGCCTTCGTTTACCTCTTGGAGAAGCTCGAATAGTGTTGGCGGCAACGCTTCAAGTACCGCCGTTACCAGAAACGCGTTGCTTTTTTCGGTAAGGAAGTAACGCACTTGTCACATATCCAAAACAGTAGCGGAGAATGTACTTCCGTTACTTATTTCAAGTAACGGGAAACGTTGTTGCTTTACTCGTTACCTCTAAAACCCAAAACCTGAAAAAAGTACACCTATTTTTTTTTTCTCAATACTTCGTTTTACTTAAGTCCAGACGCAGCCGACGTTAAGAGCTGATGGGACCGATCATTCAGAGTCAAAAGGGCATCATCATGATGTTCGTCATGTTTCTGTGCCTGTTCTGTCGTCTCTGAACAAATCATAAACAAAAAAGGCCCAGTTACTTGTGTTTTTAACGCTGCTCAATTGGTCCCATTAGCTGGTAGCGTCGGCTGCATCTGGACTTAAGCTGAAACAAAGCATCAACGTCAAGCCGTGAATTACTGCACTCATTACACATACCTTGCAAATTTTGAGTTTCTTTTCCCCGCGCAAAAAAGTCCTGCTTTAGTAAAAATAAATCTCCAACGTTTTTTGTCTCAGTGCCAAAAAACACTGTTGCCAGAAAACCGCTGTTGCCGTTAATTTCTATAGTATAAAAGGGAATGCGAAAGCAACGTGCATAATCTTTTATCGGTAACTGTAACGGTAACGCGTTCCTTTTATTTTGAGCTAACGGAGGTCGGTAACGAGTTTCTTTATTTTGCATGTCGCGAGTAGCATAGTTCGTTACTTTTTTGCGGTAACGCCAACAACACAGCTCGAGGCAGCAAGTGCTTTGAGAAGAATTAACAAGACCCCTCTCAGCTCCTGTGACTACGACCGTTTTCGTAATGTCACAAAATGAGGGGACGCACTGAAGGCGATGTGATGACAACTGCAAGTGTTTATTCACAAGCGTCCTCGTGCGTTGCTGCTCAAAGGATATTAGAACACTTCTCCTCTCTTTACAGGTGTACGGGAACCAACTTTCTACACTATAATATCTTTCCTTAGAGATGTGGTTTATGTTATGCCGGCAGCCCAGGAAATCTCTTCTAGACTAGCGTTTCTCCGCCGCTAGCAGAAAAGTGAAGCAAACTAATTTTAAGACGAATTCACGAATTTCAAGATTGCGTCTCGTGGCAGTTTGTGAAGCTACGGTGGAATGCCGCCCCGTCACGGGTCCGTAAAAAGCAGCGAAACTTCGCTGCAGTGAGGTTCGTTCGTGCAGTTGCTTAGTATTGAATGTGACTTGGCGGAGAACGCTGTCGAGTTAACTACGTTGTATATGTTAAACTTCCTCAGCGCTTCCGCAACGTGCATTCCACACCATCAAAATCTCCGTTCTTTGTAGATGATAAGTAAAAGCTTGATCTGAGTTTGCGGGCACCTTTGCCATACCAACCATAACCCCTTCCCCGTGGGAGGAAAGTTTTGTTCGAAAAAAAGGTTTTGATGTGAAAATGCGTGTCCACGTATTTTCATACCATAACCTCCTGAAAAGCTGATTTCCTGAAGGCCCATTAACAATATAGAAACGACGGAAATGTGAAGAAGCTTTACCAGCACGGACGCTGGCAGAAGCCCGCTCATCTTGAGTTGCATCAGCGGAGTTCCGGGACCCAGTTGAGCGGTCACGTTCAGGCACCTCAGGATGGCCTCGCCGTTCCGCTCGTACAAGCCCGTCGCGCTGCGAATCAAGAAACACACCGCGCAGCCACTAAGGGTTACAGAGCTCTAGGACAGTGGTCATTTATTAGTCATTTCATGTCACGACGCCTACATGAGCGCGTTTGGAGGCAACGTTTGAGACCTTCTGATTGTGATTCCTTTTTTACTCCTTCTCCGATTTTAGTATGTCGAGTGCATTCATACAATGCCGAAAGCAAGGAACTGCGTTAGACATGTTTTGCTGATGGTCTGATTATGCCATCACACGTCACGTGCGCTGCCTGGTGGCCTTTTCTAAGCTTGGAGTGCTGCGAAAGCTAGGTATGTAAGGTGTTAATTTTAGAGGTGCTGATCTTGTTTGGCACGTGCAGCGAAAGCAGCAACGGAAGCTTCGAGCTCGGACTCACAGTCCTCACTTCGGTTCATGATAAACCTGGGAGTTAAAATCATGTGCGCGGACTTACCACCGACCGGCAGGTTTGTCCCTAATGACGTTAAGGTCCCGTAACACGCACATATCTCTGGCCCGCGGACGTGGTTCTTTTAATTTGTGAGCCGTGTTAATACGGGTATATTCAAACGCAAACAAATTGAGGAAACCAGGTCCGCGGACCAGAAAAACATGCGCATCACGTGACCTTCACGTCATTACGGACATGAACTCAGGCCCACGGTGACCTGTACATTGTTAAAGCTGATTTCGCCTGTATTCTTACCTTCCACATTCTTCTTCCCACCTCTTTCACTCCCTTTTCCATTGACGTAGTCTGCTCAGTCCCATCACTAGTGTGTAGGTATTTAAATATGAGCTTTCGGGTTCCGTTTGTCCATTTTGCGTTTAAAGTTTTCATGTATAAATACTTGAATACTTTAGGTGCCCAACACCATCCATTTCGGTCAACCTTTGTTAAAATTTCAACTTACTAATAGCCTGCTAGCTTTCAAAAGACGACGAGCCTATGTCCCCCTGTACTCCCTCATTTGATGTCTTTCCATGTGCGCCCAGTGCCAATCTGCCTACGCTTCTTTGTCGAAGTTCTAATCCTCGTTGAACCTCTAGTTACCTGCACAGTACCCCATTGCCAAAAGACAGTCCTGGTACCATCACTCTCCTTAAAACTCTGACCACGTCCATCTATTATAATTTCATGGTGCCTTGAGTTTTATATTAGATGAATTACTTCTCCATTTACTAATTATATTTCCTTATGTTCCTCTAGATATTTCCTTCCCTCATTGAGCCAGACTCCCAGGTAATCTTATTTTCCTGCTTGGTCTATTACAATGCCCTGTCTCCCCATGAGTTCCCTCTTTTCGTCATTAAAGGAAAGCTGAAGCGGTTTCGTATTTCGGAAAACACACTTAAATTGTCTTGATCTGACCTCCAGGAACTCAAATATCGAAATTATTATTATTTTTTTAATTTAATGCATGGCGGCAGCAGAAAATCCTTTTCAAAGTACCACTCTAGGCCCTCCTTCCCGGAGCGTGAGCTCGTACAAGGAGCTTTCGGAATCTCCGCTATCACGCATCTTCAGCGCCTATCAAAGCTATGCACGAGCACTCTCGCTATTTTTAAAAAAGGCAGAAAAAGACGTCACGACTGGTACCAGTGCGGGGAAATATACCTGGCAAGCTTGCAACTGCACGCGCGGCCCTTGAGCGACGCGCGCTTGGCGGACAAAAGATCCTCTTATGACGTCAAGACTGGTCGCAGGTTTTCGTGTTTAGTTACGTACTCGGAGAAAACGAGCGTGGTATTCAGATTCACGGCATAAAACTACGCCCGAATCAACCTCTATTTTATCTTTTGAAAAAAGTGTTTCCCCTTACCTCTAAACACCTTTACTGCAGACTTCCCACAGCCAGTACCATTAGCAGATAACCTGTAATGTATCCTGGTTGTCTGTCATAAATAAGTACTATGTCGTCGGCATACATCAGTCCATGTATTACCTGTACTTCATTTTTTCTCGCCTTCAATAGAACTCACATCAAAACCTAAATTGCTCTGTTGTAATTTCTTTTCCATTTCAGTCAGATATATTATGAGAGCTAGAGGTGACAGTGGACAGCCCTGCCTTAGTTTTCTTTCTATTGCTGCGGTCTGTGTAGTTTCTGCTTCCCATGTTAAATCTTCCTTATCGCCCTCTATGGGAGGCATTCACTTGATCGAATGACGTTTTAGCGAACGCCCACATTACACCGAATGACACTTTAGCGAATAGTCGGACGCCGCGAAGCGGCGTTTTTGGGTGGGCCAAATGGGTTAACCTTTTTGTAATGAGCCGCCGCAGACTGTCGCCGCGAAGCGTCGTAAAGCGCAGCGCGGCGGATGGGTTAAATCGCGCCCCCGTTATTCGCTAAAGCGTCGATTCGCTCAAATGTCGCTGTTCGCTAAAATGTGATTCGCTCATGTGATATGGGCCCGCCCTCTGTACACCTGGTGAGGAATCCTAACCAAATTCGTATCGAAGTCATTATACTCCTCAGCTGACGCCAGATTTTTTCCCCGCGGCTGGCGTCGAACCAGCGACCTTTCGTTCAGTAGTCTGACATGGCACCTCTCCGCCACTTATGCAACTGTTTCTGCCGTGCTCCTTAGACGTCGTGTGCAATCGTGTGAAATGCGCGTACTCGCTGCTCTGTGCCGTTATGTCAAGTTCAAATTATAGTTGGTGATACCTCTACAAGATGGCACTTCAGATCTACTCATGGGAAAGCGTTTGGATACGCCGCGGATGGCGGTATGTGAAAGTTTGGAATATTTGGTGATATTCTCGCAAGGTGTCGCTTGAGATGTACTCGTGGGAAAGTGTGTGGACACGCCGCTGGATGTCGCCATGTCCAGTTTGGAATTAAGGCCTTATTTAGAATAAAGTCCCTCGAGGGACTTTAGTTTGGAATAGTTGGTGATATTCTCACAAGGTGTCGCTTGAGATGTACTCGTGGGAAAGTGTGTGGACACGCCGCTGGATGTCACCATGTCCAGTTTGGAATTAAGGCCTTATTTGGAATAAAGTCCCTCGAGGGACTTTAGTTTGGAATAGTTGGTGATATTCTCACAAGGTGTCGCTTGAGACGTACTCGTGATAAAGTGTAGGGACACGCCGCTGGATTCGCCATGTCCAGTTTGCAATAATTGGTGATATTCCCGCCAGATGTTGCGAGTCGCGCGGCTAATCGCATCGGTGACCTTCATTATGTTGACATGTTTGCAATGTGTTCTAAGCCCGAGGCAACGAAAACTCTCCGTCATTCGTGTGGTGAAGATCGAGCTGTCGAGATGTTTGCGAGCGGACGTCTGGCTCGTTGCACGGGAGAACACACTCGCTGGGGCAAGATAGAGGTCTGCGCTAGAGTACGTAAGGAAAACAATGACTTCTTTGTGACTGCACTGAAACTGCTCATCAAACTGATTGTGTTCGGCAAGTTCCCTCCCTACAAAGGAGCCCCGGTTGTGTTCCGGGTAGTGTCCCGCGTGTACGAGCACTACAAGGGAAAGGACAAGGAGTGACAGAGGCGCCAGGGTCCTTTCACAGTCTTGTCGGGATAGGTGAGCAGGGTGATGTTCAGAATGGCCGATGCCGAAACGACGGACGTGGTACTCTCGGACACGGTGAATAACCATCAAGCGGTCAGTACGGTGAAAGTATCTCATCGAAGCAACCTACGTGCATCGGCTGGCGGCGGATGTTCTTCGCTACATGCTGGCCACTGAGGATAGTGTGGACTCCTAGAAATAAGTTAACAACTCTATTTATTTGTCTTTCCTTCTTTTCGTCCGACCCCATAGAAAAGATCGGACCTCGCAATCGGTCCTGTCAATCTGGTTTTGGTCGAGTTCCCAATCGGTCTTTAGAATGAGCGATCAATTTTATGGGAACCTTTTCTCGAATCCCTCCAGTAAAAATTTTCACAATAGTTTAAGCAAGTTTAAGGTACAGCTGTCCCAACCTATCATAATAATTGAACCGTACGAGATCGCCCTAGAGGAATAAATATTTTCCATGAAATATCAAGAGTGTGACGCGGCCATCTAATGAGACCTATTTGGTCAGACCAAAGGACGCTGGGAAAGTGGAATCAAACAAAAAGATTCGAATCCCTGCAAAACAAGACTCTCTCGTTGGTGAGGAATGGGTTGAGAGAACTCTTTGGTCCCAAAGCGAGCATCGATCGAAAAGAAAACTGTTGTTCTATAACCTTCTAGAGAAACAACTGTTTGCATATGTCGTCTCTCTTAGCCAAACAACTGGGCTTTTCAGAACAAATATTTTTTATAGGTCTGTCTGTGAAAGGTCGTCCCGTTGAGGACGAGACGTTCGATCAGGAGGTTGAGATAGAGCTGACAAGGGTTAAACACGTTATGACACATAAACCAACTGATATCCTCTAGGACTTCCACGAAACGGCAGAACACCTCATTGACGCGATAAACAGTGCATACCAATATACACTCAAACTTCCTCCCTCAACAATGCTGCTTCGTCATAGCCCCTACATAAAACTCACAGCGTTGCAGTTGCATCAAAATAGATATGTACTGATCACTCCGCACTTTCACAAAATCACTCGGATTTGGTGAAAATACCGTGTATTTTTGTACCTTTACCGTGGCAGACCATGAAGTCGTATGCTATCCAAATAATTACATTTTTACGTATTGTGACATCTTAGCAGCATAACACGTTGGTGAAGTGAAAGTCCCTTTTTTTAAGAGTCGTACTTTTCGTGGTGACCAAGCGAAATGAGATGATATTATATTTATTCCATTTGTTGCAATATAAGAGGGTGATCGTAAAGGAAGGCAACACCGTTTTTCTGGAGCTCGTTGGTGAGAAAGGAACTTACATGGCATTTCTAGACGGATCCGGTCGTGTCGCAGCCACTCAGAATTTCAGAAAATGCACATAAAGTCTGCACCGTGCTGTGAGGACCATTTTTCCCGTTCCGGAAAGAAACATTTGCCACATTTTGTGTCTGAGCCTTTGTTCCAAGTGTCCAAGGTTCCAAGGT